AGCAAAGAATGAAAGATTAGAAATAATGCGAGCAATTTGAACATCTTGTTGTTCAGAATTTGAATGTAGTTTTTATTGCTTAAAATCCTGTCTTTATTTAACTCAAATCGCAAAGATCTATAACCAATCTGAAATGCAGTTTTGTAAATTAATCTCTTCACTGAATATATATATCTATATATATTCGCGGGCCAAGTGTGACCGTGAAGTTTTATTTGCCTAACGTTTGTTTAAAAACTATTGGGTCATTTTTTCGCGGTTTCATCTTTTTAAGTCAAAACGTAGACCTGATGTAACTATGTCGTTTAGATAATGATTATTATTATAATTATACACCTGTATAACTTACATTGGATTAAAAATATGTAATGTAACAAGTTTAAGGTAAAATACTTCTTGCATGTGATGTGGGCAGTAAATTTGGAATTTCAGAACATTTATTCTGCCAAAAAAATATGGAATAAGGGTTTGTTCTGCTTAAATAAGTCCACAATTATTGATTTAATCATTCTTTACGTGAATTATACATTGTTCTTTTTAACTTAAGGCTTTGTTAATTAGGCACTTTAATCTTTAAATAACGCTTTTTTGACAATCGTTGTGCAAATTTGATTTCTCAAAAGTGGACAGTTTTCCATTACATTAATCCGATATGCAAAACCAAGAATTTTATTACGACATTTTAATGAGATAAATGCTTAAAAGTTAGTCCAAGTTGATTATATTTATACTGTCTTTACCATTGCCAATCGAAGCATAAAAATTTGCTAATTTTAATTTCGGAAGAGCCCGAAATCTTTCAGCTTCACTTACACCCTCCGACCTAACAAGGCATACTTGACTGTAGGAGAAGGCAATCATAACTCTAGTCGTCGTGTCTCAAAGGAAGTTTAAATTTTTGTGCAAAACTGATAGCCAGATAATGGAGGTACTGCTTTATGGTAGTCATCATTAGCCCTTTAGTTGACTTCAGGCATCTCAGAGGGGAGGAACATCAAAATGAGTAAAACTCGAGAGGGGGAACAGAAGAGGGATTCACAGATGTACAGGAGACAAGCACAAAGGCAGAGAAAAAGGTGAGGTGAGTACTGTGAAGGAAGTCGAATATGACACACAGTGTGGTTATGGTAGTTTGTAGTGGGAAGTCAATTGTTGGTTTATTGACTTTTTGCCGTATATGTATACGTTGCCCATGGTGCAGGGAGGTTAGTCTATCGCTACTAAGCGCCCAACAATTGAAGCTGAGTAAAAATATCAGCGTGAATTTCAGACTACATCAAAGCAACTTATTTATCGCAAAAGCGGAACTTCAGATAAAGAAAATGAAATAAAGGCCCATGCAAATTCGAGAAAATTCACCTAATTAAAAACTTTTTTGTCGAACATATGATTACTTAATGCCGTCCTTTTGCTTACCACACTAAAATCTTACCATTCCAAGCAAATACTTTCTATCAAATTTGATACCAACTGTCCGAAACATTTGGGGAGCTTAAATCATTAAATGATAGATTGGGCCCTCTAACCTTCGTCAAGGCGCATTGATCACCTAGAGTAAACACCTGCTTTATAACCAAAAAACACTGCGTCACTCCATAAATTGATTGGTTTCCGAAAGACGAAAGGGGTCTCTCAGCCTTACTAGGCAACGGATCATTGAGAGGAGGGGAGGGGGGGGGGGGGGGTTGACCAATTTTTCCACTACCAACCGACATTTAGTAAATGCCTTTGATGCAGGTAGTAAACACACCTCGTCCCCAAATCAATTACAAGGTAGCATGATTCATTTTACGTAGTCTGTCTTAGTGTAAATCAAATCTTAGAGGAGATGACAATCTATTCGGTGTTTAGATTAATACTCATGAATCGTTCCTTCTGACAAGGCACTACCTGACTAACAATTAGAAACTGAAGACCTTTTTTTGAAATTGTGACTTCTGTCGCTCATCACCAGTGTTGAATCCCAAGGCCATTTTGTGTTCATTGACAATTTCATTCAAAGTTTAATACCTACGCATTATTGAGCAAGAATGTGAGGTTAGACATAACAGATTATCTTTCAACTATTATTTCATGTCTAATCTCAAGGGTCAATTGGTTTCCCTAAATTAAATTGGTTTACAAAATGAACTTGAGACATCTTCACCGTCTTGTTACGTTTTCCACAAATTCCAAAACAATAGGATACCTTGGCATCTGACACGTAGGCTTGTTATATAGTGGGCAATACTTTTATTCACTCATTTAGCATTGATTTATTGATTTTTAGGACACAAGTCAAGGTAATTAGGACGGAAGGTTCTTCCAAAATAAATAAACCCGTCCTTGACCCGATTTCATTGCCTGCTTTCTCATGACACATCTTCCACGTCATTGTCTTGTTGGGCACAGTCTCTGTTCCATTTATTCTGACACTTTTATATCTTTAAGAATTGTTAAATAAATGTGCGCTGATATAGGCGTAGTAATTTAATCAACTTTCGTTAAAATTTTGTAATGTGAATTTTTATTTGCGCCAAATATCTTAATGAAATAATGATAAATAAACTTATGTTTGCCCAAATGAATTATTTTAAAGGTAAAAAACCTTGGTTGGGCTATTGAAATATATCTTTTTTGATTTTATTAATTCCATCAGTTAAAAAGTTGGCATTTAACCCAGACAGGTGAGAAATGACAGCAATTAAATGGAGCCATGTTTCAATAAGGCGCCTAAAACAATGGTGGTATTGTTTAGTTGAGCTATTGTTTAAACACGTCCGTGCATAACAACACCAATTTTTGTTTTTTTATGCTCACACAGAAAGGAGAGGTCTAACTAAGTAGGTGTTTGGAAAAAAAAACCACGCGGAGCGTAAACAAAAGAGCTGCAAACAATATCAAGAAATTATAAATGGAGAGAAAAATTAAAAAAATAAATAACGCAATTAATTGCCTACTCAATTTTACAAATGTCTTTAAAAATTTTTGGCAAACGCAATGCCTTAACATGAATTGCTCACACTTGCATATGCAATTTGTTTAATTAAAACGAGGAGAAAAATTACAGAGTTGCTAGTAACCTGGTCGTAAGTTTATCGGTTTCGAACTCAACTTTAGTCAAAAACTACCATATATGAGTTTTGGGAATGTTTATTCATTTATATCGAATGGCAGGCATTTTGATAGTGTCATTACCCCTTTAGATGACTTCATGCCTCACAGAGAAGAAATATCAAAGCGAAATAAAATTCGAGAGGGGGGGGGGAATAGAAGAGTGTTTCAAAGATGTAAGAGGCAGGAAGATACAAAGGTGGAAAAGGTGAGGTGAGTACTGTATAAGTAGTCGAATATGACATACAGTGGGGTGATGGTAGCTAGAAGCCAGAAGTCAATTGCCGGTTAATGGACTTTTTTGGTGTATGCGTATACGTTGCCCGGGGTGCACCACGTGGAGGTAAGTCTAAATATACATTGCCCAGGGTGCACCACGGAGGTAAGTCTATTGCACACCCCATGATACCTATCATAACGCCTGCCATTTGAAAACACACCCATCTTTGGGAATGTTTCCTTCAGCTATTTCTTTAAACTTTTAAGTTCGATGCAACTAAAAAGGTGTCTGAAATATCCTATATGCTGAGTTAGGATTTTTGACGCCCAAATTCCTCTAACTTAATCACATCTCCTCTTCAACACTTAGGTTCAGCTGTTTTTTTGTTCTTCCTGTTTAGATGCTCTAGCTCAATTGAACAAACTTTGCACATAAATTGAGCTTAGTTCCACAACACAAATTGAATGGAAATGGTAATTTTGTGTCTGTTCTTAACAAATAACCTGAATTAAATTATTTCGAAGTCTGAAAGATTCCCAGTAAACTGATGCTCCCAAGAGAGTGACCTTTTGGGAATCTGCCAAATTTTGCTAGCCTCATATACTATGCAAAGGTCAATAATGAACTGCTTATTTTAAAATAATAATTCCTTCTAAATTTGCATAGATTTTGGACGAACTAAAAAGGATACATACAAGATAAGGGATGATGTTTACCCGGTTACATGGAATAATATTGAAATAGAAGTTAAAATTTTCCATAATGTAAACAAGCTTTGTTTACTCCGAAAGAAATGTTATAATTCCTTAGAACCTAAGTTTTTTATTTTTGAATGATTCAGTAATTGTGCTTTAAAACACGCATAATTTAATTAATGTTAAAACATACAAAATCAATAAATGGTTATGCGCTTGCATTTCGCTGAAGGATTCAAAATGAAAAGATATTGCCACTTGAAAAATCATTAATAATTCAGAAATTCCAACTTAAGAAGAGCTATTTTTAAAAAATTAAATTTATCACGTGAACAGGCCATCAATCTTGATCCGAAAAAACCAAAAATTTACTAAATAAACCTGATGCCTAGTACAGGCATAGTCTTTACAAACTTCATTATTAGGACATTTTGACACAATCTTATTTAAACTACAGCTTTCAAGTTTCAGGCAGTTAGAAATTCAATTATGTTTCAACACATTCCAAAGCCCTTCCTAGACTCGCGTAACAAGCTCGACTTTATGCCGATAGTGAATCAAGTTCTCTCCATGCTTCCAAGATAATCCGAGGAAACACGGACTTCTAAAAACGTGAAAATCATCAAAAATCGGTGAAATATGGAAGCTAAGCGTGACAAGCAGCCTTTCTCAGCCACGCCCAAAGTGTCATATATCACGGATTTTTAATACTCCTTCTCTTAAAATTAAAAGGTAGTAGTTTTCGTCGCTTTAGCGCGTAAAAGAACAAGAGATAATGAAAAAATGTGTCGTGTTAACAGACACAATTTAGGGAAAGCAATTTTCCAATACCAATAGCACTTTATGGCACAAATCGATAATAATATCAAAACTAATGAATGAAACGTCAGGAGAGATGACATGGGGAGACATTGAGGTATATTTCGCCAAGTCGACTGTACATGTTGCTGTTGGAAGAAACGACATTTTAAGGTTGGTTAATAGATTGTCATCTAAGCAACGTAGTGATATTTATTCGTAAAAGTAGAATCTCGACTGATGAAGTCCCGGCCGATTAGTATTTCTATCCTCTTCTTTATATCTACCGGCTTTTGTTAAAAAAGGAAAGAAAGGCATTAGATAAGTGAATTGAAGATATTCTCAAAGATAACAGAAAAAATAGTGAAATTGCACATTTTTGCTGGCTGCTCATTAAGTCATTCAAACGTAAATAATAATTTCGAGACAGGTGATTGTTCCCTTCCCCCCCCCCCACAATCTTCTCTTCACAGACTTCGGCTTTACCTCTATGCACCTGTGAAATTACCTAACTCTTATTCCTCGGATTTTGGAACAGAGTGTACTATGTTATTAGCAACCAGGAGGTTAATAAATGCAGCATCTGAATGAATATGATCGTTAATACAGATGCAAGTCTAGGCACAGAAGATTTTTTAGGAAAGCATTCTCTGTTCCCAGTGAGATTAATAAATAAATCCTACCTTGTAAGGGAATTTGAGCTGTCTCATGACTTCACCAATGAGCTGAACGTGTTCAATCGTTTTTCGTGTCTTCATGATTCGAACAATCATGCAATCTACATGCGCCGCGCGATCCATAACAATGCTAGCCTCAGTCGCATCATGTTCTTTTTTCTAAAAACAAACAAAGCGATATTAATGGGAAGGTAATATTAACCAAGATAAAGATTAGTGACACCACTTACTGTCTCCTTGAGTTGGATCTGATTAAACCTAATACGAGTGAGGCTATGTGTAAAGCGCTTGTTAAAGTAAAACATAGTATCGTCCTTCAGATCGGTAGTCTATAAAGTATATTTATACAATACATGTTACTGTAATGTGTAAGTAGAATGTATTTTTCCAAACAGCTAAGAAATTACCAGGGGTTTTGAAATCAGCACACGCTGGGACTTTGTAGCAGTGAATGAGATTAGGGCTCGATCTAGATCATGTTTAGGGATTCCCGTTGCTTCCGCGATACGAGCGTAGCTGATGCCTTCGTCTTCAACGTCATTGAAGAGTAGCAGAATCAAGGCCTGGTACTCTGAAACCTGCAATTCCTTTGGCAATTTTGGTGTCTAAAGGAGTTAACAATTGTGAATTTAATTGAGTACAAGAAGCTCAAAGAACTAAAAGTCAGAAATTTTCCGATCGCCCTGAAGTGTGTACTGGTCTACTAGAATCGACTTCGAATTCTCAAATTTATGGATCAAGATGATGTCGCATTAGAAGAAAGGACAAGCATCAAAAACACCTTAACGGGTTTATGTGTGCTATATTCTCCGAAACCCACTCGCATAAGACGGACCGCCGCCCGAATCAATAAAGATTGCTTGTGCAAATGTTCACGCCTATAACCCAACTCCATCAAAAGCGGTGACATACTAAGTACATATAAAAGCTAGTTTCATTCCCATTAGCATAGTTCAAACTTCAAGTGAGAATGTATTCTTGGGGTCTTTCAATGCAAAAGTTGCATTGTGTAACAACTACGTCACAAGTCCACTCTTCCAAAATTGCAACTTAATAACTGTAGCCATTTACTAATGATTCTATCGAAATAATGCAGCAAACTGGCAAAAGTTGTTATAAAGACAAATTAAATAGTCGAAGGAGGTAGGAAGAAGTAAAATGGTCTTGATACACACTATCATTTACTACATATCCAAATCCACATGGACAAATTTATTTCCTTAACGAGGAAAGGTCCTTTGAGCTATAGGTACTCTCCCTGATTCTTTCAAGGTCTGAGCAACTCATTTGGCCGCACAGATAATGGGAGAAAGTCGTAAAAGCAAAGCATGCTTGAATATTAGGTTAAAGGTTTTGGGGGGTTTGCGATAGACTTACCTCCACGTAGTGCACCCTGGGCAACGTATACTCATACGGCAAAAAAGTCTATTAACCGGCAGTTGACTTCCGACTTCAAACTACCATGACCCCACTCTATGTCCTATTCGACTACTTCCATAGTACGCATCTCACCTTCTATCTACCTTTTCTACCTTCGTCTTTGAAGTACTCTTCTGTTCCCCCCCCCCCCCCCTCTAGACTTTTTCACTTTGATGTTCCCTCCCCTCTATAAAGCCTGAATTCAACTAAATGGCTAATGATAACCATCAAAACGCCTTCCATTCGATATAAATATTACGTTAAAACATGCTGATGCCCAATTCATCAGACAATATTGCCAACACTAATTTATGGACCTATTCGTTGTTAAATAAAAATAAATTGGACTTCTTGTTGGATTCAACATATTTTAACTATTGCCTTTAATACTAGGAATCATTTTTATAAAGATATAAGAGTAGAACTCACCTCTGGAAAATGAGCTTTGACGATACAAGAGCCAAAATACGGAATATAGGTCAGTTTCTTGCCTTTGCGTTGGGATAAGTAATATTCATCGAAGTCATTCTTAATCGAAATCATCTGAAAAATCAAAAGGGAATACAAAGAATGTCCCCTTACCAAGTAAGACCAATAAAAATATCGACAAGATCCTACCTCATTTGGATAAATGGGCACTTCTTTAGGCATTTGGGAACACGCGGATGGAGCTAAGATACAGATGGTAAAATCGATCGAGTAAGTGTCAGGTCGACTTCTTTGAAATTTCTCACTCAGATCTTCACTTGCTTCAACGTCTCGGAACATTTGGTCCATTGCGCGAGTGTATTCGGGACCACATTCTACAAAAAGGGGGAGGGGGAATTTTCATTAATCTTTAACAAGAGAAAGAAAAAGTGCCCGAAAGCAAAAATGAGGACAAACCATCTTTCAATCGAGAAAGTACAGCTTTTTCAGCATCAACGGAAGCACTGCGCCCACAAATGAGACGCTTACAGAGAAGGTTTTCATAATAGGCTTTAAATACATCCTTTCCATTAATGTACCTGAAGAGAATCATTAAATTATCTATCTCTTTGTCAAAATCCTCTCCAAATTGACTTCGTTTATTTCCACGGAGGTTTAAGTCAATGTACTTCGCAAGAAGTTCCGCTGGCTTATTAGGTCGCCGATTAATAAACTCTTCAAACGCATCATTAACAATGCGGTTACAAGAAGCGTCACATTGAAAACTCTCTTTAACACAAACATTCAATGCGTCTCTGAATTTTAATAGACGCGGAATTAGTTCTCTATCTTTTTCGGACAAATTCCCGGAGTTTTGAACGATCTCCAAACCTGCGGCAAGGATCGTTTTCTTGAACTCTTCTCTCAAGCGTTCAACGCCATTTGAAACTCGAGAAAGAAGGGAATATAAAAGGTTGAGGTCATGCCAATTTTCGTCTGTTACAAGACTTTGCAGAGAGGAGAAGAGGAAAGGCATTTGTTTGGTAATCAGTGCATCGTTAAGAACAATGGTCAGAGACTTGCGAGTGGATCTATTGAGGTACATTGTAACCAGATCTTCTTCCTCCTTAATACGCCGTTTAACGTACTGGACATACGAAGATATATTCATTTCAGCGGTTCTTTCAAAACCTTCAAGATCGTAGAACCTTTCCGTTTCGCCAATAAATCGTGGTTCCAGATAAGCAATATACAACTAAAGGAAGACATTAATTAAATCAATGAAGAGAGATTACATTGAGTTCTGTGAACATAGACGTTAGAGATTTGAGAATACTCTTTTCTATCGTATTCCCACTTCGCTCAGCAGATATCATTTCGACAATTTTAATGGCATAAATTGTATGAATATTGTCATGCATTGCAACTAATTTGCGGAACAAAGCCAAACCCAAATCCCTAAAAGGAGCATACTTTTACTAAGAAGACACGGATAAATTTTATAAATAAAAACAAGTTCTTAATAGATTACTCACCAAATCGTATGAAAGTCAGGGTCATCTTCCAAAATTTGTTGATCCAGTTGAAGGAAAATATTTCTTACCAGTAGCTACAGTATTGATTTGAGTTAACAAATAAGAAATCTACCATTCTTTCACAGAATCGTTCCCATGAAGATGAAGCTTTTCTGAGATCCTTGTCATCAGTAAACATAATAGTTAAGAGAAATAAGAAGCAAAATACCAAAGACTAAAATTAATGCTCAAAAAAGGATATGAGTCAAAGAATGGTATCTGCTCCTTTACAAAAGCCACAATGAGTGAATCCAGAGTTTGATACATCCCCAATCTCATAGAGGGCGTGTTCAGATATTCAACATACTGCAAAGATTATATCTCATGTATTTCTTACTCTGTAAAGTGCTTCCAAGCTCTCGTCGACCTTTTCTGCATTGAAAACTGCTAAAACTGCTTCTCGTAGCTTTAGGTGATTCTCTTCGAAAGAGCGATCGTTGTCTGGTTCTGTGAAAACGACCACGTCTTGTTCTAAAAATATGTTTTTAAGTCATATTCTAACCATCAAATTTGTCAAATGAAAAATTTTTTGGAGAACTCAGGATTTCTTTCAAAACCTGATTGACTGCCATAGTCAGAGCAGACAATCAAATCGCAGCAAAAATGAAGTAATAAAGGGTCAAAAATGCGTTAGAAGTTAGCCAATCATCTCTAAGATTTGAAATGGCCTTAAATAGGTTAGTTTGTTAGTAGATGCGTAAATAACGTAAATAATGTCTAAAGACTCAGTATTTATTTAAAACGGGAGACATTGCATGAAATTTTATTCCCTATTTCATGACATAAATACTTATGTTTTAAAGAGAGAAGATGAAATTGTTAAACTGCAAAAATGTAAAGAAAAGAAGTTGGTGCATTTCGCATATAATTTTCAAATATAGGTACTTAAACTTAGAACATGCTTAGGATAGGCAATTAAAATTCGTAAAAGCCGATTTTTATTGTGAAAATAGAGCACCGTTATGTGTTCAAATCCATTTTGAGCTCATCTAAGAGGGAAATTTTATAGCATCCTATCAATTAATTCTATCTATTGAAGTAAAAATTGACCGAAAATTTTCCTCAAATCAATTTGTTTGCATGTAATCAATTTGATCTGGACTGGAAATCATGCCAATTGAAGCAACGTGAAATTATATTTCCATATCTATAACCTGTGTTATTTTTAAATCAGTATCGATTAACCCAAAATCGTTGTCTATTTTGACGTATTTGATCCATTTTTTGGAATTTTTTATTGCCCTATGGGTTATTTTTTGTATTTTTAGTATATAAGTTAGTATTTACTATAAAATCTTATCTAGATTCATTAAACGAAATGACACTTCATGAAACGTGATAACAGAAGCAATGCTCCTTCACTTAAACCGCATATTTGGTACGTGACTCTATGCGTTTCTAACATTTTAACAATGTCATTACTAAGTGGGTTTTAAAGTTCTTGACATTGTTGAAATTAAGGGTGTCAGTGTGGTGCCTGAAGTACCTATGGTTTTCATAAAGGCAGTCAATACTGCCAGTCGTCACCTTTATTTTTAAATGCTGATTTTGGGGGTACATAAAATAAAAATTGTGAGAAAAATGCTCTGTTTTATAAGCAGGCGCTGAATTGTGCTTACGTGTTCAATATGACGGCAGATATTTATGGCGAATTCTAACTATCGAAAGATAAAGTATTTAGAAACTTTGTAAAATATTACTATCTCGATAAAAAGCCGAGCTTATTAATGATTGCCCGAATTACCTAAGTCATCTACTTGCTTTTTAAAATTTTATGATTAGATCCTAAACTCAACCACCTTTAGGCCTTGGGAGTAATATAGTAAGAAAGAAAATATACATGGGTGTTGGCAAGTAATAATGAAGAATTATTAATAAATAATAGAAGGTGACTCATCGATAAATAATAAAATAAGCGAAAAAATTAAACTAGAGATAAGTTAATTTTCCTTTAATTTCTCTTCAAGGCGTTGAATAAATACTTCGATGACAGGCAATTAAGCAAGTTAAGTTAATATTTTAATAATTAAGTACGAAAGAAGTTACAGGTTAATATAAATTCAAGTTTACGTAAGCACGTAAATTTATTTCTTGTTTACCAATAAGTTACACTACAATAATTTAAATTGTCGAGTTTGGATAAATTCAAATCAGAATTAAGAATTAAAAAGCAGTGAATTTTAAAAATTGAACTTCGCCCGGTCAATATTAAACAGCGAAATATCAAGAAATTATTATTTATTCATTCCTAATTCAATAGCGCTTTGTTTTGCCACCTTAAGGTTAGTGGCCATTTTGCCTGAGAGAATCGGTTTCGGTTTTATGCAAAAATAATGAGAGCAGTAAATTTTCAGTTTTTATCGTTAAATTTTCACTATTTTCAAATAATTATGTATTATTCGTATTTAATAAAATATTGTATACACGGATTAAAAAATTTCTACACAAAACTACTTTCTGTCTAATGATTTGCAGAAACGTTATCGTAAGGCAAGTCGTAAATCTAGCAGTCACGAGGACGAAGAACCCTCAGATGAGCTCCTTTACTGCATATGTAGATCTTCTCGTGGTGACGGCTTTATGATGTACGATTTTTAAGTTTTTTTTAATTTTGTCTAGTGCTTGCGATAATTGCGAAGAGTGGTTTCATGGCGAATGTGTAAATATTACAGCTAAGCAGTCGGATTCCATAAAGTCATATTACTGTCAAGCTTGTAGAGGTACGTTCAGATTATGTATCGGCTTTTATTCGCACATCAGATGAGAATCCTGCATTGCGGGTTATTTATCGAAACGAGAATGCTAGCAGTCGCAAAACTCCGGGGAGTCGTCAAAAACCTACCGAAGTTCCCAGCAATGTAATCGATGAAATTGGCAATCATCACGACAGATTTAATACTATTCCATCGCGCAAAAGAAATCGAAAAACCGCCCAACTCCCCCTATCAAAGTCTCGTCGCGCCACCGAGGCATCAGCCAATCAATTTGCAGATTTCTCTGATGGTGAATTTGAAATGGATCAATCACAGATCGCTTCACCGTCTTCGAGTTATTCTCAATCTCATCCTGGTCCTTATCCTTCTCGTTCGAGATATGAACGCGCTACTCCTTCGAACTTGGATAGTATTGACCATGTCGATTTTCATCATTCCCAACAGATACGCCGACTCCCTTTCACTCGCAATGCTCGTTATTCAGCGCCATGTGGTGAATGCGAGAGTTGTAAAACGAGGGGAAATTGCGGTTCATGTGATGTCTGCAGAAGTCCCAAATTCAAGCAGGGTCGAAGTCGGCAATATTGTATAACAAGGATGAAAATGTGCCAAGCAAATGGCATTGAATATGCCCAGTCATTGCGAAACTCCTCTCCTAGGGGTAGATTAGGACCTCCCTGTGGAGAATGTGGAAGTTGTAAGACTAAGAGCAACTGCGGTACCTGTGAATTCTGCCGAAATCCACGCGCGAAGCAGACGCGAAATCGTCAATTCTGTTTGTACAAAGCGAAAATGTGTGTGACGAATTGTGCCACAAGTCCAACAAGACAGTCAAGTAGATATCCCTCTGCCTGCCATGAGTGAGTTTTAGTGTTCATTTTTTTTATTTTTCACTCTTGTAGTGATCTACATGATATTGAATTCGATCCTACTTTTGATGAGGATTTTGGTCAATCTCGCTACCTTTCCACAACACGGAAAGTACAAGGTGTTGTGGGAAGTAAAATGCGACGCGGTGATCATTTACCAGGAGGAAGATATTCTAATGATCTCTCCTCCGTTTATCCCTCAAGACGCACTGGCGCCGCCCAACATCCGGACTTCTTTATTGACAACGATTTTCCCGATGCTTTTGGTATTTCACCATCTACTTATCGGAATGGTTCTTCACGTTATACTGGTCCGCAAGGTGAACTTGAACCCAGAATATTGCGTGCTGGACGGGGAGTCGTTGATGCATCTGCTGATGCTCTCAGGTCAATCGAAGGAGCTTTCGACTCAGATGAAGATGTTGTTCTACCCGAAATGAATGCCTGTGCAGGTCCTGCTTGTTCTAAACCTGCTCTTCATGGCAAGTATTGTTCTCAGGACTGCCGGTTACGCCATGAAAGGTACTTGAATTTCTCTGAATTTTATATCCCTTTTGTTTAGTGACAATATGAATCGGACTCATCCACGGTATTCCAATGCTTCATCGAAAGATCAAGTTGTGACCCCGTAAGTTCTTGTCGCTTAAATCAATTTAGGATCTAAGCATAAATATCGCATAGTCCAAAGTTAGGATCAGTTTGAATCAGGTGGCCTTTTGAATTTTAGTTTAATGTATTATGATTAATGGCCATAGTTTATTGACTCACTGCAAATATAAGTTCCTGAGTAGCAGTGCTCATTATACGGTTGCCTGTACCATCTTAGCATTTTGTATTTGGCTGTTTTAAAAAGATCATTGATCTTGGTCGTTTAGATATGGATTACCATACATGGATCACATTTACTGTCGACATCATCGTATGCTTGGCGCACAACAGCAACAACAGGTTTTTAACACTGATATACAAATGGGTCTACAGCAGCAGGACATCTACCCAGACGTCTATACAAACTTTGGTGGCAATCAGTCTGGTGTTATAGATTATACCTACGACCCCTTAGCTGTCTCCACCCAGCCTGGTTATAACCGCCGAATGCCCGTATCTGATGATTTCTTATCTCTTGGTAACCACCACATTCTTCACAGCAGGGGTGGTGGTTCTGTTGTGAGCCATTCACGCAAATTTACCGGTGCACAATCCTCCCTTGTCGGTGGGAGTAGGATGATTACTCTTTCTGGGCGAAGGCAGATTCGTTCTGGTGGCAGTGGTGTTGTTACTAGTGCAGATGTCCTTTCTCCTCCCGTACCCCTAGACTCAATCACTCCCACTATGCAATCTCTTCGTCTGTACAATGGTCATCCCGCAATAGAGTTCCCTTCCGGAGATACAGAGAGTGCAGCTGCCGCGGAGATTTTGACCGCTGCAGAAGCAGGCGATTTGATGGGAGGCGTTGTTGATGGGAGTTCACCTTCTGGTGTCGGTGGTAATGGTGTGGATGGCGCTATTGCGTCATCTACCTCGACTGCTGCTACTGTTGGTGCTGTTCCAGCTTTCAGACAAGGCGAGGAGTACTATATGATGAACGAAAATGAGAATATTGAAATTAATTGGCCATCCTCTCCCAGTGGTGCTCCTACTGCATCTGCGGGCACTTCCTAAGCTTGTTAATCCTACTGTGTTTATATTCGTAAATATTTTATTTGATTGAAGCAGAGTAATATTGGTATATGTGTCCCACCCCACCTACTCTTGAGGCAGCTCCTTATCCTCTTCTCTCACACTTGATACTAAGTTGCGTGTATATAGTCACTATGCATCACACCATTTATCGGTTTCAATCATTATTTTGTACATAACTCTGTGTCATTATCGGGCAGGCAAAATGTGGTATTGTGTGCTTGTGTACATTTGTTAAAGTTGTATTCCGGGGGCTTTTTATTGCGCCCTTAGCAATCGACTGAGCTAGCTTTTGCCTGTGTGTCTTCCTCTCTTTGTCTCCTGTATCACACTCAACTTGTGTAAAAATTGTGTATGTTTTTATTTATTTTTTGAATATGTATAACATGCTCATCCACTCGCGCTCACTGTCATAAACTCTGCTATTGAAGTGTGTGTTTGCATATGGCGGAATATTGTAAAATTTCTGGGAATTGCAATTTTTTTCGCTTCGACTCGGGGTTTATGGGATGCGCTAAAATTTTGCGATCGGAGTATTGTAGTATAAACTGAACTCACAATCTAAGTCGAATTTTACTGCTGGACTCGGGAATTTATAGTTTTTTGAGCATGTAAATATATAATTTGTACATAGGAAGGCCTTTCCTGGGGTTCTTTCGTACGAATGAGCTTCATGGGTAGTGTGTTGTTGTGCTGAGAAACCTTAATTTAGGATACTGATAACCATAGAGAGGGCAAATATCACGGAGTAATTGTTAAGATTCAAATATCTTAGGTCAGAAAATGTGCTAGTCTGGATAGCTTTATGGTGTAAGGAAGCAACTGGGTCACACAGAGCAGTTGTTAAGCTTCACACCCTGGGGTGTGTTGGCGGTTCGATATCTACTGGGCTTAATTGGCTAACGTGATTTGCTTTCGTGGCAATGCAGTATGAAAGGATGAGTATCTCAATATATACCTAGTTAGGTCGTGTTGAAGTAGTACCAGCCTTCCTAGTGAGAAGCTGAAATGTTACTTCTTTTATTAGTCCGATTTGGTGCAGTTGGGCATTGCTCATTGTGTGTGCGTACAGGTGGGTGTCGTAACCATGGCTTGGTTCATTAACGTGGTCATCAAATTTATCTCTTGGGTCGAGTTTATGCGTCCAGAGTGCAGAAATAATCGACTTTCGTCGGTTTAGAAGATCCGATTGGAGTAATTTCATGTACAATGGTGACCTTAAAATCCACTCGAATGTTCGAATCGGAGTGTAATAAAGTAGCTTATATGGAAAGTGGTAAAAACCTCTGACCAAAATGTATATGAAAGCGCTACGTCGAAAACGACTGGTACGGTCATTTGAAGTATGAAGGCTGGTTAATTATTCAACTACCGAATAGGATATAGATGTATACGGACAACGGAATGTGGTTGAACTTGGATCTTGATCACTTTTGCTTTTGGGACAAACGGGTTAATCTTAAGCCATCGGGAAAGGGAGTAAGATGTTCTTTTAACCTAGATCAGTACAGTTAATCATGGTTGATGCCCTTTTAAACCGTTTAAGAAGTTCAAGTTGCTATTTAATTCACACATATGCGTAGTTTATAGCAACCGCTTTGAATAGAAGAGGATTCGTCTATTGGCAGGTGCTGCGAACAGTTACCCTCGTTGAACCATTATTTAGATAAAATTTACAGCGATAGTATTTCTTTGTGGACCTTCTAGGGTCGAGTCCAGTTTATGGCCAGTAAAGCTTGTACTTCCAAAAAGATTAAATAGATAAAATCCCTAACAATTTCTCTTATTCAGGGGTCAAAATTAAGAGACTGTAGATGATAGGGTCACCTAGGTTGAGTGGATTAAAATTAGGCCCCCCCCCCACTTTCTCGTTTTGCATATTTGAATGAGAGAAATAAAAGAATTATTCCCATATTTAAAAAAGATTAAACGCCAATTCTGATTAGCGAGTAGCATCATAAAGCCCCTATTGTGAGTAACGCAAATTCTCTTATCTCTTACACTACCCAAACTTGTAAATTGTACACGACCAAATTGTGTATTCATAACTGAAATGATTTCGAGTGATGTCAATAATTTTTAACGGTACAAATACCTGCCAATGATGGGAATCAAACGCCAAATAGAATACGTTCGATGTAGATGCACAAAGTTAACAATCCTGAACTGTATTATTGATTATTTGATTTCTACATTCGTGACCTGGAATGCGATTTGTGCTTTGCTACGATTACTGGACAAATATCCAATCAGTTCTCTAATCTAAACCCCAATAGGTACGCAAGAAGGAAGAAGACAATTGCTATTGGCTTAAAGCGAAGTAATTAGCAAATGTTAATTTGCCATTATGATCGTAGGTTGTTCACCGAAAGAAGTTGAGCTTGTTAACTATTAACGTTATTTCTGAGGGGTATTTTAACGAGGTGCTTTATCGATAAGTGGCCAAACAAAATGGGGGCTTAGAAAATCGTTTTTTTGAGACACTGCACTGCAGATAGAATAAATAACAAAGCCGTTTAAGCAGATACATGCACTTTCCGTTTACGTAAAACAGTCAAAATAGTAGTAAATCATCATCTGCGAAAACAATTTAGTGACACATGTACAAATATTGCTCTACTTCAATCAAATAAAATATTTACAAATATAAACACAGCAGGAAGTGCCCGCAGATGCAGTAGGAGCACCACTGGGGGAGGATGGCCAATAGCGCCATCCACACCATTACCACCGACACCAGAAGGTGAACTCCCATCAACAACGCCTCCCATCAAATCGCCTGCTTCTGCAGCGGTCAAAATCTCCGCGGCAGCTGCACTCTCTGTATCTCCGGAAGGGAACTCTATTGCGGGATGACCATTGTACAGACGAAGAGATTGCATAGTGGGAGTGATTGAGTCTAGGGGTACGGGAGGAGAAAGGACATCTGCACTAGTAACAACACCACTGCCACCAGAACGAATCTGCCTTCGCCCAGAAAGAGTAATCATCCTACTCCCACCGACAAGGGAGGATTGTGCACCGGTAAATTTGCGTGAATGGCTCACAACAGAACCACCACCCCTGCTGTGAAGAATGTGGTGGTTACCAAGAGATGTTCATGGTGAGAACTGCAGGCTTTTGGCCGATTGCAAAAATTTAATTAGAATGAAACACAATAACCTGAAAGAATTGACTTATTCCTAAACGAAGATATTTAAACGTAGATGGAATGATATATCTGTGTGATTTAGAAGATCCGATTTATTTCGACCTTACGAGCTGAGACGTTGGAGTTATTCCAATTTCGTTACTGCCACCATTAAAAAAAGTACGTCTGAACATCTTTGTTATAAAACAAGTTCACCACTTGACTTATAATAAAATCGACTCAGTTGACATATTATTAACCAAACGAGCTTCAAGTGAACTAAGCACTTGAATTTAAAGATTGAATGAATTTGTAAAATTGTCATTTTCTTGAATCCCGAACTTTGAACTTGATCTGAAAAAGTACAGCTTTTTACCAAGAATGGTGAAGACGTAATATCTTTAAAGTTGTTTAGAAGTTTTAATATTTTGAATAAAATTACGGATAGGGCAGAAAATCCGAAAATTGTTCTAAGTGCAAAATAAAAGAACTTTTTTTTGAATTATAAAAATAGAATTACATCGCGTCTGCAGGTTGGAAATTAAATTGTTTCTGACATAAGTTCCCATATCCTCTGTTTATGGATACATTTTGAAATAAAATAAACAAAATTTCTGTCACCCAATAAGAGAAAAAGAGAGTTGTTAGCTCACCTTTGAGTATAAGATGAGAAAAAGAAGGTGTACCTGAATTACCCCCTCATTCTTGTAGAACTGTACGCGCAATGAAGACTAGATAAGGCTTGCACTACAACGTCTTTTCGCGCATTTAAATTGTCAGGTAGTGAGATATTATTGGCTGCTCGTCAACGGACAAAAAATTTGAAATCTGTCAATCCCTTGCCGTAACTAAACTCCCCCCCCCTTTTTAATCCTAACTCTTCAATTTCAACTTACAATGCGTCCGCCTACTTCATTCTCATACCCACATCCACACTCGTCCGATTCTGATTTTGTAAAAATCCCCAATTTTGCCTTCGGGAAGATTGATCGTATCTTTGAGTGGAGGATATCTATAAGCCTAACCCAATTTTAATAAGATTTTTCGTTATTTTGATGACCAAATATAATACGAAAGGACGCGATAAAAAGTTATTATAAGGTGAAATTCACACGGAGCAGTATTTGTAAGGTCATAATAGCAATTTAAACTTTCGTGAGCCATTCCATTCTCTACTTGCGAATTAGGTGAATGCCTTATTTAAACAAACCTTGTAACCCACATAAAACATGCTTAGCATTGTGAAAGATAAGCAACTTATTGCCTTAACTGAAATGCTTAGGAATTTCCGAAGGCATTTACGATTGAATACAGTGCAATATTTGAACACATACTAGTCTGCCACTTTTAAAATTGAGAAGAATTTCACAATACCACAGTAATAACAGGTCAATGAAGTGAATTGAAAGCTAAATTCGCTAAATTTGATCAGTTAAATGTTCAGGGGGACAAAAGGGGTCTGACCGTAAAATCTTATCAACTTATCAGTGTCAGATTTGCACCTGTTCCAGCTATTACGCTAATACTAATTGTTTTGCGTAA